CGCCTGCTTCCTCTCAATCAGCTTCTTGATGATCTGTGGCAGAGGGGTAAAGGCTGGAGTCCCAGGGCAATGCTGCAAAGCACTCTGCTGTGGGAGACTTGAACACTCCGCTGCCAAGCTCCCTAGAACCCCTCCCCAAGGCGCTATCTACAGCTTGACTACAATGCCTGGTTTGCACTTGGCAGCCTTGGAGCTCTGGTTGCAGACTCACCCCTCGGTGAGTTCCTGGCTGCCAGCATGCCCCCTTCATTTCAGCTACCATTTTAAAAGCCAGTTAAAGGCAACTCGGAGTCAGCCTGGAAAGACCTTTTCAGAACCCTGCACCAATGAAGTTGTGTCCTAAGAGAGGTACCTCCTTCTGTTTCTTGATGATGTGGGAAAGCTCAGTGTAAGGGATACGGGGGTTAAGCTCACACTCCATCAGGGTCGCCCCCTCGTAGTCCTTGATGTAGCCCAGGTAGCGACTCTTTGGCACCTTGATATCCTTGGAGAAGCCCTAGGTTGGGGAAGGGGGTTGTTAGAGTGAGTTCCCTGCTTCCTTGATAGGGAAGAGCTGCTGGTTCCTGTGGGGCCAGGGAAGCTGTACCTGCTTCTTGAAGTACCCAATGGCATACTCATCAGCATAGGTCAGGAAGTACAGGATGGTGTGCTTGATGTGATACTCCTTCAGGTGGTTCATCAAGTGTGTCCCATACCCCTGGGAAGACAGATAAACAGACACGCTCACATGCCCCCATCAGGTAGGTGCCACAGAGCCCCAGGCTGCCTAGCACAGAACAGCCAGATGCTGGTTACAAGCCACAGGCAGCATCTCAGACAGGGATCCCAAGCAGCTGGGGGAGGCTAACCCACAGTTCCACGCAAGCCCAGAGCAGGGAGTGGATGGGGACAGATACCAGCAGAGCTATCGCCCAGAATCAGAAAGAACCAGCATTACACACACTCCCACCCTGGCTTCTTGGCCAGGACAAAGCAGCACAGACCAGGCCTGTCCTGTGCTTGAGTCCATTTTAACAACCCCTGTAGAAGCAAGATGCTGACAACCCTCATCTCTTTGCTTTACCTATGGCAGTTTAAGGTGCTTTGGGTGTTTTTAGGCAGTAGGCCCCATTGTTGTGCGACAGGGCAGATTGTATTGTATAGTTTTAGGAATAGGTTAGGCAAGCACTTGCATGGCATGGTCTGGATGGGAATGATAATGCCCCAAGCAGGGGGCTAGATTAGATGACCACTGGAGGTCTCTTCCAGTCCTACTTTTCTACGATTCTATGCTTCCCTAATACTAAAGTAGCTTCCCAGCCTACGGCTCCCCCAAACAACTCAGGAGTGCCCTTCCATCCTACCTTCCAATCCCAGCTGACCCGTTTGCTTTTAAGCAAACCAAGCATGGTGCTCCAAAAACCCTCAATGAGCTGCCACCTGTTCTCACCTTCACTTGCTCGTTGGATGTCACAGCACAGAAGACAATTTCCGTGAAGCCCTGGGTGGGGAACATGCGGAAGCAAATCCCCCCAATCACTCGGCCATCCTTGATCAGAGCCAGCGTCTTGTGCTTGCTGCAGGAAAAGGCACAGCAAATGCATAGAGGGCATCTGAATCAATCAGGAAGGGCCTGAGGATGGGCAATTTATGGGATGAGGAGCAATCTCAGCCCACCTGGAGCAATCAGGAGCCCCCTATTCCCCAAGAATTTATCAGTAGTGTGTGGCAGAAAGGTAAAGTTGTAGCTGGGGTCACCCACAGCCCTGGAGCAGAGACTAAAATACAGGTTCTCAAATGTCATTTTAAGCTCTGACCCAATGTGAGAACAGCCCAATTCCTTAGAGCAGAGCGGAAACCCCACCAATCCCACCTTCCCTGGCCCTAGCCAACGTACGGGTCAAAGACGAGGCGTGTGATATACTCCTTAGGCATGCGGGGCAGCTGGTGGGAAAAGACATTCTGCAGCCCCACCAGCCACATGAGGATCTTCTTGTTGGATTTCTGCGAGAGTGAGTTGCCGATGACATGGAACTCGATGATGCCACGCCGCTCCTCCAGCCGCGCTGTCTCGTCCCGCGCCGCATTTGCTGATAGCAGACTGGTCTGGGGGTCCAGGGGCAAGAGTGCAAGAGAGAGCCGCACCCACTCACCCAAGCCCCTCCCTAGCATCCTGCTCACCAAGCCCACCAGTAAGAAGGACACAGGAGCCACCAGTGCAGAAGAAAGGCCCTGTTTTGCAAGTCAAGGCAGCTCAGAGCATCACAGCAGGGCTCCAGCACTGTAGCAACTGGAACTTCATTCTCTCCCTTGCTGAATGAGGAAGCTCTGTGCAGAGCCCCCAACCCATACCATACCCATGCCAGCTCCAGTCTCCCATCTAGAGTGATGCCCACAACCAACCCCAGCATGAGGTCAAAACCACCCCCACCAGCAGGTCCAGAACCACTGTGTGAAGAGCTGGCAATCCCACTTGTCCTACCCAGTCTCACTGGAGGGTGGCGATACCAGAGCCAGACCCTGCAGCAATGGAGAGCCAGCCATCACCAGCAACAACCATCCCAAGCTGTTAGCAGCTCTGTGGTCTACTCCAACAAAGGACAGGTCCTCCGCCCCCACACCTCACCGTACCTCTGGCCCCAGCATGGCAGCAGGGTCTGTGATGGTCAGCATCACTTCATTGACCAGTTCCATGGGGATGTCACCCATGACCCGGATGCGCTTGGCATCTTCTAGCGTCAGGCTCTCGGGCAGTTTCCGCTTCTCACCTCCTTGAGAGTGGGTAGGGGACGGGGGAGAAGAGTCACCACAGAGCTCAGACTGCAACCAGGGGCTGCTAGTGGATCTGACATCCACCCCACATGGCTTGGGATCCCCCTTCCCCATGCCACAAAGAGACAACCACAGCCCTGCCCACAGGATGCCATGACAACCAATGCTGTCTCATGCCCCACAACCTACTGGGACTCTGAAAAGCCCTATGCTCACAGGAGTTGAAGGAAGGATGCCCTTCTAGACCACAGGCTTGCCCAGGCCCCACAGGGGCTGTGTATGGCTTCCACACAGACCTGCCTCACTAGGGAAAGTCAGTCCCAGTGCCCCACAGAGCCCCCAGAAGGCTCAGCACACCGGGCTGGCAGCAGACAAGGGTTTTTCACACTGGCTTCTCACTTCTCCCGTTTCAGGGGAACAGGTTTGTACCAGATTACAGACAAAGAGAGTGGTCTGAGCATGCCCCAGTGCCAGGCCCAGAGCCTTCGTGTATGAATTTGCCAGTGCACACACCCACAAAACCTACACCCTGCACACAGGGCTGCCACTGAATGGGTCTGCTTCTTTTGCCCTGCCAACCCTTCTCC